ATGTAGTCCAGTGTCTCCTGAGTTCTATCTCCCAGTACCACACAAAAGGAGAGAGAGAGAGATCATTCCCTGTGTGTCCACATGCCCGCCCACATGCAGAATCACATGCAATCTGCTGATCATTTTATATTTGTTGCATCTTTTTTTCATTGCTCCTTTATTATTTTCTTTTGTCGTATTTTTTTGCATATCATTGTAAGTCCTGATATTTTTTAATTTTTGCAGTTATTTTCTCAGCAATTTCACAACTGCTCTATGGATTATAATATATATCTTGGTTCATCCCAATTGGCTTAAATAATTAAATAAAGTAGAAACTATAATACATGTCTTTTTCCTCATTCTTTATGCCATTATTGTCATACATATTTCATCTTATGTTATAAACCCCACCAAAGAATTAAGAAACTTTTTTATATTTACTGACATATTTCTATTCCTATTATGCTTCAATTTTTCCTCATGGATTAAGATTTTCTTATAAAACAGTCTAATGGCAAGAAATTCAATCTTTGTTTAACTGGGAATGGGTTTTTTTTTCCTTTGGAAGAACACTTTCATTTCGGAAGACTTGTTTTGCTCAATACAGAATATTTGATTAACAGTTTTTTCTTTCAGCAGTCCCTGAGGGTCTCCATGTCTGAAGAAAACTTAGCTGCTAAAGATAGTAAGTCCCCATGTATGATGACATTTTTTTCAGTTTCCAAGATTTTGTATTTATCTTTGATTTTCAACAGTTTATAACGCACCTACTTGGGCTCTGTTTTCCTAGTTGGAGTCAACTCAGCTTCTTGAATTTTCAGATTTTTTTTTTTTTTACAAGACTTGGAAATTTTTCTGGTATTACTTATTGTTATGGTTGTATCTAGATATCCTCTCAGAGCTTCATGTGGTCATAGGTGAGGCTTTTCAGAACTAGCTGCATCTACGTGTATGATACTGGGATTGAGGGTGTGTGGTACTAAATTAGTTCACTCATTGGTTTAACATAGTTCTGGATGTGGATAATGGAAAGGCCCACCCTGGGTGTATGTTGCACCGCCCAAAAGGGCAGGCAGCCTGGATGAGATAAAAGGGAAAGGGAGGCTTGCTGTTTGCTATTCACTGCCTTCTGTATGCCATACCATGGACCATTTCTCCTGTGATGCCCCTCTGATATGTTGCCCTGACTTGGAGCCAGTTGACTATGGACTGAAATTTCTACAAATAGTGAGCTGAAATACACTTTTCCTCCTTTAACTTTGGGTGTCTAATATTTTGTCTCTGCAACGAGAAAGCAACTAAGACATTTACTTTTATTTTTCTTTATTCTTTTTTATTGACTGTTGATGTACTACTCTGTCACTTCTATTGAGGATCTCCCACTAAGTGTATATACATGGATATGCTGCTCCGCAGGCTTCCAAGGCTCTTTTGACTTCTTCAGTTTTCTCCTCTCTGTTCCCGTTCTTCAGGAACATAAATTTTATTGATCTGTCTTCACAGTCATTGATTTGTACTGCCACCTCAAAGCTACTGTCAAGCCCATTAGGTAAATATTTAATTTTAGTTACTACCCTTTTAAAATCTAAGCATTTGTTGAATCTTTTAGTGAATAACCATCCCTTTAAGGAAATACTTTATAGAGTATCTTTAGTTTTACTTCCCTCTAATCCTTTAAACATAGTACCTTTTAGTTCTTTGAAAATCTTATAATAGCTGTTTTGATGTCTTTGTCTGCTAAAACCAACATACGGAGACATTTAAGATATAATTTCTACTGTCTGCTTCTTTTTTCCTGAGTATGTGTCACACTTTTTTATTCCTTGGCATATGTATAAATTTTTGGTCAAATGCTGGACATTTTGGATATTATAGCAATTTCAGATTCTGATGTTTCCACTTGATGGTGGTTGATATTGTCATATCTGTTTTAGTGACTATATGGCTTATAAGCCTATTAGCCCTGCTGTGTATGGCCATTGATGTCTCTACTTCATTACTATAAGTTTAGATTTTTAATAATTTCAAATTTTCAAATTTAATAATTTCAGTGTTTAGCCAAAGACTGATCAGACATCTCAAGTCAATAAGATTTCCACTCCCTATTGCTGAGATCTGAATGTAGACAGGGAGTGAATTCAAAGTTCGGATCTTTCATGATATTCCCTGAGTTTTATTTCACTAACACTCTTTCATCTCCTTTTATCTACTGTTAGGTGCCCTTGACCAGGAATAGGTGGGCAGTTTGACCCTCTTTTCTCTACTGTTCATGTCCACAGCCCCAGTCAACCTGGGACGTGCTAAGTGTTTATCAAGTCTCCACGGCTGTCTTAGCTCTCTGAATTCTCTATTAAATCCCATTAATCCATGTGTTTGTTACTTGTCCCAAATTGTACTACAACCTTAGACTAGTACAGTCACTGGCCCTTCCTGTTCACCTGCCACCACAATCACTTTTAATTTACAATGCTTCGGATCAAGTGATCTGCTTCTGCACAAGCAATAAAGCTGCTAAGTTTTCAAGAATTGCTCCATTTTGGTTTAAATACCATAGCAACAAACTGGGGATAAGGAAGAAAGGAAGACATTACTCCCAGAGAAAAACACCACAAACACATTAGCTTAAGTTCAGTAATTTTCATGAGGATTAATCCAGTGTTGATGAGTCCATAGTTGTACCATGAATCCATTAGGAGGTGGGGTCCAGTTGGAGGAAGTAAGTCACTGGGAGGATGTCTAAAAAAATACATTTTGTTTTCTATTGTCTGTTGTCTCCCCTCCCCCATTTCTGCTCTCTCTGGCTGCCATAAGATGAGCAGCTTTCTTCTACCATGTCCTTAATAACATGATGGTTTTTCCTTACCACAGACCTAAAAGCAATGGAGCCAAATGACCGTGGGCCGAAACCTGAATCTGTGAGCAAAAATAAACCTTTCTTCCATTAAATTGTATGTCAGATATTTTGTCCCAGTAACAGAAAGGTAACTAATACAAAACTGCAAGTTCACCTTTTCATTACTCACATATTATCAATGGATTTGTAGTTCTATTTTAATCTAGATATATTATGCTGTACTTTCTTTTTTTGTTGCTATGAGAGTAAACTGATTTTATGCATGTGTGTTTTTGTATGTGCTAGATAGAAGTTAAGGATTTTTTAACATCCATAACATAAAGATGATTAAGATGTAATATAATCACAGGCAAAATCATGTTAATAGACTATTCAGTCCAGACAGAGCAGTATATGATTTCTACAGATAATCTACAGCATATGAAAATGATAGTAAGTTTGGAAGCTATGTATGTAAAAATATTTGAGAGACATGTCAGTGTTTACACTGGAAGAAAAAAGCTTACTGCTATGGTAGACTTTCAAATATTTAAAGTATACCTCATATTGATCCAGAGGGAAAAGTCAAAACTAAGTGTTATAATTCTGAGATCATATATTCATATATATATACAGAGAGAGTCTGCCAAAAAATGTATACACATTCAAGGAAAAGAAAAATAGTACGATGTTTTTTCAACAAATGGTTTTACCCTTATATGGATGTTGTATATCACAGAAAACCCATTACACTGCTGGCCCTTTGAGAAGAAAATGAAAATACATGTGCAGCAATCTCAATGACCAAGGTGAGCCAAGCAGCAGTTCGCTTTACTAATAAATGTTTGGAAGCTAACAGCCACCACTTTGAGCACCTCATAATTATAGAGGCCAAAGATAACTTGTATTAATCTCATGATGTCTCAATAAATTTAGCATTAAAATATTTATACAAGTTTCTCTTTTCCTGGAGTATGCATTTTTTTGGCTAATTCTCTTTCTTTCTCTCTCTCCAAAATACATATATACATACATATATTTAGCAATTTAAGCTAAAAACAACTGAAATGGTTTTCTTATTCAGTAATGATTTCCCATCATTAATAATCATAACAAAGATTAGATGACTACCTGTAAAAGGAATATTTATGTACAAGATGGACTAGATTAACACTTCGACTCTTAAGTTTCCATTATTTTATAAAAACAAATAGATAAAAATTTAAATGAATAAAACTTTCAGAAAAAATAACCCAACACATATACAAAGATATCTTTCAGGTTATTCACAATAAATGAGGCAACAGGACATAGAAACTATTTCTAAAAGATATGAGACCCATTGTATTAGGTCCCAAAGGGAAACAACATGTGAATATTTTTTAAAAGTTACCAGAAACAGAAAAAACAATTCTACCATTATACAAAGTTATGATCCATATCTCTGGTTGCTCTAACTTAAAAATAAGCAAGATGAAGGGGGAACAAAAGATAAGTAACATGAATACAAGACAGAGATTACATAAAATCTGACTTCTTTCTAGAAATGCTATAGCTGACTGGGAGTATAACAAATACTCATAAAGGACAAAGAGGATACAAATAAGGAAACTTCTGACTTGTTGATCAAAATGTGGAGTTCAACCTTTAAATGCTAAAAGAGATAAGGTTAGGATAAATAAAAGAAGTGCCATTATATCCAGGAAACAGTAAAACACAACCTGCTTGAACCACAACAGGTTATGGGCTGGAAATGGAAATAACTTACCTCTTTGAGTTGATCAGCACTGCCCCATGATGCAGAACGCTGATGGGACCTCTTCTCTCTTCCCTCTTCTGCCCAACAGCTAGGTGTCTTTAAAATAAATAGAAAATATAAGAAATTTGACTCCCCCTAATCTCGAGTAACTAAAACATAATTCAAATTCTTAGCACATACAAGTTATGGAGTTCTACTAAAATACTTTAAGTGATAAGATATTCATGACCCTGTAAAATGCTTAAAACTTTGCCATATTTTGAATTAGACATGATCAATCCATCTTCCTTAAAACATTTGATATTTTCACATCAACATTAATAACTTAAACTTAGAAAATTGTAAAGGTTTATTAGTGTTTTCTTTTCTTACAGAGCTCAGCCAAACTAAATATGAAGCAGTATGGCTACTAAATACAATGGAAATAAGATGAACAGAACTACCTCAGAAGCAGTGCTGTTATAGTTGACTTACATATCAAATATCTAACTAGACAGAGGGCTGAATGTAATACTCTTCTGGTACTTGGGAAAGAATGTTTTGAAGTATCTTTCTAGAAATATATGAGACAGCTTTATATTAAAAATAGTTGTTATAAGCTAGGTGCAGTGGCACACACCTGTAATACCAGCTATTCTAAGGAGACAGAAACAGGAAGATTGTAAGTCTCAAGCCAGAATGGGTAACTTAGGAAGACCATGTCTCAAAATAAAAAGGGCTGGGGATGTAGTTAAGTGACAGTGTACTCCTGGGTTCAATCCCCAGTATTCCACAGAAGAAAAAAATGTAGTTATTACAAAATTCAATGAGAAAAAGACTAAAAACAATAAATGTAACAATAGAATTTTAAGCAAAACATTGTTTTTACTTATTTAACCATGGACAGATACAATATTTAAATGTAACACTAAAGCAAAAATAATGTTATAAAATATTAAGACAACTAATTGTATTTAAATCAAATAATGTTAAAATACTACCTTAATATAAGAGAAGATTGAGTGTAATGTAGAGAAAGTAAAAACATCACTATTTGAAGACAGATAATGCGTGCCTATGATGAGTGTTATCATTATATATGGCGAAAATGTACCAATGTTTTGCTATAAAAAAAAAAGACAGACAGTGGGTAATAATTATCACAGTAGGTATATATGGCCTTAAAAAAATTTTTATTGCATAGAAAAAAGTCATTTACAGTGAAGCCTCACTTGAGAATCTACATTATATATAAGGTCTTAGTAAGAAGGTATCAGTTCTACTTTATACAGCTCAAAATTATTGAAGCTGTTTAAATAACTACCATCTCTTAAAAGCAATGATACTCCAAAAGTGGATGCTAGTTGAATAAATATAGAAATAAGCTGCCTGAAGAGTTCACTACTAAAGAATTGAGAGAACATTTTATTCAACTAGCAAGTGCAAGGATATGCAAGCATATCAAAATAAGCTGCTTGCAAAAAATCTAAAATTTGCTGTCAATCCTAGATAACACAAACTAATCTGAAAATAATTTAGCCCCCAATCATATCCTTAACAATTTATTGTAAATATAACAATTATAATAGTTTCAGTCAAATTTTTATTTTGAAAATTTATGCACCTTAATAATTTTATCTATCAAGTAGCATCGTCTTTGCCAAGGAGCAACTGATTAAGGATCATAATCTATATAACTCCAAAGTATGTTTACAGAAAATGAGTCAAATTTTTGCCATGCACCATATTTATTCAATGATAACATTTATAACACTACTTTCATTTTGTACAGTCGTAACTTTTTCAAAGAATTTACATCTCCAACTTATAGATAAGTCAATAGCCACAACATTTTCACAACTGCTTCAATTATTGCCAGGGTTGACAATGGCAGACAGAACCAAATCTGAGGTTTCTAATCTCAGAATACCTTTCTTCATATTAGCATTCTTTTCTTTTTTTAAAAAAACAGCTTTATTGAAGTACAATTTGCACAACACACAATTTACAAATTTAAGGTGTGGGACTCAGTAGATTTCAGCACAGTGACAAACTTGTACAACCATGATGACAAGCAAATTCAGAGCATTTTTGTTATTCCCCCATCAAAACACTCTACCCACTAGCTGTCATCTCCTAATCCCTCCCCACTGAATCTAGCCAACCACTGAGCTACACTCTATCTTCAGAGATTTTCCTATTCTGGGAATTTTTTTATTCAAAATAAGCCATGCTCATAGCAACAAAGAAGACCTTAACATATCCAAAGAAATGGAAATCCTGCAAAGTAAACTCTCACACCATATTGGAGTGAAACTAGAAACTGACAGCAGAAACATACTTAGAATACAGTGACTTTTTTTCTTCTCTTTTTTTCTATTAACTTTTTCATATAAGGGAAACCATGTGATGTTCAAGCTTGTATATCTGATTTACTTCACTTAACATTATGGTCTCAAGGTGGATCCATTTTCTTCCAAATGCCTCAAGTTTATCTTTCTTTATGGCAGAGTAGTACTCCATTGTGCATAAATACCACATTTTCTTAATTCAATCATCTGTTGATAGGCATACAGGCTGTTTCCAAGATTTATCTATTATAAACAGTGCTGCTATAAATATAGGTATGCAGACATCACTGTGGGACAATGTTTTAACTCTTTGGGGGAGATATCTAAAAGGAGAATAGCTGGGTCAAATAGAATTTCTATTTTTAGTTTTTTGAGGAATCTCCATACTGATTTCCACAGTGGTTGCACCATTTACACTCCCACCAACAGTAGAGAAAGGTTCCCTTTCAGCCTCTCCAGCATTTATTGGTTAATTTCTTGATAGGAGCTATTCTTTCTGAGTAGAGATGGAATCTTAATGTTGTTTTAATTTGCATTTCTCAAATGGCCAGTAATGTTGGACATTTTTTCATGTATTTATTGGCCAACTGTACTTCTTCATCTCAGAAGTGTCTATTCCATTTGCCCTTTTACTGGATATTTAAATTTGGATGGTCTAATTCTTTTGAGGTTTTTATACATTCTAAATGTTAGTCCTTTGTCTGAAGAGAGACTGGCAAAATTTTTTTTCCATTCTGTAACTTTTCTCTTCACTTTGTTGTTGAATGTGATCCCATTTATTGATTCTTGGTATTATTTCTTGCACAGCGGGGGTTTGTTCAGAAAGTCTCTGCCTACACCTAGGTCTTCCAGAGTTTTACCTATTTTGTCTTCTAGTAAATTAAGTGTTTCTGTTCTAAGGTTGAGATCTATAGCCTCTTTCGCCACATGCCTAAGGTTGAACTTAGACCCATATCTCTCACCATACACTAAACTAGCATTCTTTTCTTAAAAATGAATGTGAAAATCAATTTGATTATTTCAAAATGTGGTATTAGTTATACAAAAGGGAAGAACTAACTAGTGAAGAATGTTTATGGTCACGAAACAATTTAATAAGACACAGTTTTTTAAAGTGAAGAAACACTGGGTGTGTTGGCACACACCTATAATGTCAGTGCTTGGAAGGCTGACATAGGAAGACTGCTTGGGCTTTACATGTAGTGAGTTCAAGACCAGCATGAATGACATAGTGAGACCCTGTCTCAACACCCCCTCCAAAGGGAAAAAAGCTACTTGAAGAGTTCTCTCAATCATGTGACTACAGAGTTATAAACACATAAACTACACAAGTATATTCATCATATTCTCAACTTTCCAAAACTATCCCCCTAATTTAATAATTTAATTTTAATCATACCTATTTACCTATTTATTTATTTATTTAGGCTTTTGAGATGGAGGCTCGCTATGTAGTTCAGGCTGGACTTGAACTCATTAAGTAGCCCAGGCTGGCCACAGCAATCCTCCTGCCTCAGCCTCCTGAGTGCTGGGATTACAGATATGTGTCACCATGCCTGGTAGTTTATTTATTTTTAATTTAAAATAAATAGTATAAAAATGTTCTAGTCTGCAAATATATTCTATAGATTGCAATGTCCAATACAGTGGCTCCTAGCCAGATGTGACTATTTAGATTTAAATTAAAGAATATGACATACAACTAATTCAGTTTGTAAGTCACACTAGAATATTTTGAATGCCCAGTAAATGCATGTAGTATTGGCTATGGGCTGCCATACAGAACAGAACAGAACAGATAGGGAACATTTCCATCAGTAAGTTCTAGACATCTGATCACAGATTTTCAATAAGATATTCTAGCCAAAGAAAAAGCAAGAGTAGCTACATTGTTTTTGAATCTATTTAAACTGATGCCTGAGAAGTCATAGAAGGTAAGCTAATTTGAACCCAATTTGTTGAACCTGAGTATTTAAAACATGTTTAAAAGTTTGAATTAGGAAAGTAGCCACACAAAGTATCAAAAGTTCTTTTCTTTCCTACCAGCAAACAGCCCCTTGAACTGGCCAGTTATTCTGTGTACTATCTACACTAGAATTTTTTAAATAGTGTTACTAATAACCTTGTTTCTGGATGTCACTAAGAATGAATGATAAAAGGGTTCCATGGTCAAATTAATTTGAGAGAAACTGTATGTACTTCTCTACCCCATATACAATATGCATTCCAAAATCTCAAACTTTCTCGCTCTCTTCTCTCACACATACTCACACACACACATATACAAATACTCTTTTTAAAAGCCTGCTTAACCCATTACTTGTATGATGCCCAAACATTTATTTTACAAGTATACTTATTAACATGTGCAAAGCACAACTCCACGGATATCTTGGAAAGAAATGTAGTCATCAGTGATTTCATTATAGTATATAGCAGCTTGATCTTCAGCCACTATACTTTAAGAGATTCTTCCTTTCTAGCTATCTCCACTCACCAAGGAAGAGAAAATGAACCTTTTATAACATCTGAGTAAGGCAGAGCCAAAGTATATAAGACGATTGACAAAAACGTGTTTAGTTTTTTTAAAAAAATCCCCTCTATGTAAAAAGGATACCTATAAAATGGAAAAGGTCATTTTTATTCTCATTCCCCAGTTTTCCAAAGTCTAGGCCATAAAATTTTCTTTCCAACCCTTACAAGTCCATCCTCTCAGGTTTGGTTTCCTGTGCAAGAACCACTTCTCTAAACAAAATATACCAGGAC